TTGATTTAAATATAAAGTTCGGTTATTTTTAGGACACCCCGTGTAGTGCCAATTATATATTATATATATTATATAAATTTTCCTTAATTAAATTTTACACTTGAATAAAATATTTAAAAACTATGACAAGTTTTGCTTTTTATTTTAACAAAATTATGAAGTATATGTATACCTTGCAAATATATTTCATATTTATATTTTTAATTTATTTTTATTGCTTTACTTTCTACTTTTATTGAAGTAACAAAATTATTTTTTTTTTTTAATTTTTTTAAATATTTCATTAACATGTAAAAATTAATTAATTAATTATTTCTTATACTTTATATTTGTATTATTAATGAAATAGCCTTTGAACTTTCCAGAAAGTTTTTGAAAATGTACTAAATACTTTGGAGAAAATTTTTTTTATTGTACATATCATATATTTATATATTCTTTTTATAATAGCTTCAATTTCTTAGTGTACACGTTTCAAAACAGAAATATTAAAAATAATCTTATTTAATTTTTTTCTCAATATAAAGTTGGACTCCTTTTGCAAAATGTGCCATGAAATGTTCTAAATAATAATATTCTATAAAATGAAATTGTGAGTGAAAAAATTTGTGGCCTACATTCAGGCAGACTTATCGAGGACGCACACCCTACCAGCGAATAGACATTAACAATGTATAAAAATAAATAGTAAAAACTATATTTGAGATTTATACATATTTTATAGAATATATTTTTCAAATTAATCATTATTTTACGTGTGACTTAACTTAAAATCCACTAGGCGCCTTTGCTATATATAAATTTTGATCCCCGACTTATATTCTTATGCTGCTGCGCTGTATTTTAACTTTAATTATTTTAAACAGACATTTTTATCAAATGCAAATATCCGTTAAAATTTATTTCCACAAACGATTTGTTGTTATAAAACCAACCGCATATGTATTTTAAACAATATGAGACACACCTTAAACCATGTATTTCATTGTATTCGACTTTGTTAAGCCGGTTTTAAAAAGCCAATGAAGACATAATTTTTTTGCAAATAATTACCATAAACATGCGGCCAAACGTACATACACGTGCCATCTGATATTGTGCAGCCGACAACTCACGACGTTATCGCTATAATAATAATCGATTTTAAGTCCAACAAAGAAATGCATAAAAAATGAATTCTTCTCACATAAGAGTACATTTTTGTTTTGTTTTGTAATAATTATGACACCCGAAGGAATATATGGGTGTATAGGGTAACGCATCTCATTACACACATGCGACTTGACATGTCCGCATAGCCATTTATTATAAGTATGTGTATTATAAAATTTTGCAGATGTGTGTGGTTTTGTGAACAGGATACATTAAAGTGGGGCTATATTTGCAGCACTACTAAACCGTAGCTCTTGAAGATGATTTTGCGACCTTTACTCTGTACTTAGTCCCCATTTTTGTATGCAGAGCCAAAGAATTTTGTAAAGAAGAATTCTACCAGCTAAAGTAACCATTTTCTTCGTGTAGTCATGCGAGTAGACAAAATCGCTTCACCCTAATACTATCTCTATACATCAAAGTTCAAAATGATTTGCTTTTTCATCCATAGAAGGTTAGCTCTGCGGTTGGCATTTGTTGAATAGGAAACATTCTGTGCCGGGCTGTGGTGCGTAAACGTGCCTTTTTACACGCTTACACCAAGTGTCCTCGTTTCAAGCGTAGAAATTTATTATTGCTTATAATTATTGCAGAATACTCTCAGTTTGCATGAAAGTAAATGTGTATAGCATAAGAAAATATAAGATATAGGGCAATCAATTTTGTGGTTTTAAAATTACAGCGCTGTATTTGAACATCCGTGAAACCAAACATATTTTGTTTCACTTAAAATACAGTTATTTATAAAAAATGGACCGCTTAACAATTGTACAACGCGTTAAAATTGTTAAAACCTATTCAAGCAAATTTGAAGGGACTGGATCTGTTACAGATATTGTAGGACCGTTAGTGTAAATGGAGGTGTAGTCGAATATACGCCGACTGGACAGCGATTTTAGGTACAAAATTTTCTTCAGCGACGAGTCACATTTCTTGTCGCATTTGGGTCTCACATAATCTTCAAGCATTTTAAGAGAGCATATTACACCCAAAAAAAAATATTATCTGTTGCACTCTTTGGTCCGGAGATGTGATTGGATATTACTTCGTTGAAAATCACAACGGCGAGACTGTCACTATCAATTCGAAGCGTTATGGTCGTATGATAACCGGCTTTTTCTGGCCTGCAATTGAAGAACAGGACTTGGGCAATTTGTGATTTTAACAACAAACTACACAATAAGCGAATATGGTCATATTTTAAATGGTAAAGTGCTTTACATATGATGCCAAGGTTGATACTTTATAAGAAAAACGAAAGTTCATGAAAATAGAATTATTTTAAATGCATTCCATTTAAGTTTATTAAATTTAACCTCAAAATGGGTGGCCCGGTATATATAAAAGAAACATGTAATCGTATATTGTGCAGCTAGTGATGGAAAGAGCGGCTTCGTTGGAGCCGCTTTAAACACTAATCACAACCGGCTACAGTGCTTAAATTGGCATTATTATTTAGGATATTATTATTCTATAATTCCTGCTACGAAAGCTCAAAAGAAATATTTAACATTCATATAGTTTGTGCTCCATAACACTTGAAGCGGTCATATTTTCGTCCAAGGTACTCCTCTTGATAATTTTCCAAGAAATGGAGGGGCCTACAGTGAGGAGCTTTTTTTAGATCATGTGAGAAATATACCCGCAGGGGTAAACATTCGCTGCCTAAATGCGAACGGAACTAAACATATTTTATAACATTTTTGATATTGGTCTGGTTAAGTTTCTAATGAAAACCATTCAGCTCCTGTGGCCGCATACGTATTAAAGTAGAGATTTCGTTTATTATTTGTTTGTAAGAAAGTTACTCATACGACTTGGTAGTACTTCGGTGGTTTTTATATAACAAGAAAATTTAATATTTTTGCGAGTAAAAGCAATTATTAGAATTAAATAGATTGAAATTGATCTGAGCAAGCAGAATTCGTTATTGCTACTTATCATTCTCCTTTAGGACATCAGCGGAGAAATGAACCGCAGACTAAAAAAAAAGTTACTCATACGAACCGGCAAACAAATTTCGACTATTTTCGATTCCTAATAAATTAAGCTTCTTAAATGTTTTAGAAAATAGATAAAAAAAAACTTTTCTTAACTGGAAATATGTAAGTGATTCAGGCAAATTGTTTTAAGAACGATTTGGATCGATTTATTAAAGAGACGGCAAAATGTATTTTTGCTGTTTATATTTTTATATATATATTTTTTTTGGTTGGCAATGTAATAAATGATATAAAAATGCGAGATTATTTTCTGTACTTTGCTTCAGATACGCCTTTACCACACTGTGAGCCAGAATAGTTGGACTTAATTTCTTTTGGTATCGTGTACAGTTTTTTTTATTGCTTTCAGACCACACCAAAAGTAAAAGTCAGTCCTAAGTACAAAATCCTTACATAATTGTGGCGGATATTTGAAATTTTTCGAACTACAAATTGAAAGACCTGATGATGAGCAGGCCTTAAAGACAGTAGCACTGAGCTTTCTTACAAATGAATAAAAAAAGTTGAGAAAGTAATAGCTAAACAATAAATAAAAAATAATGAAATAAAATGATAAATAAATTAAAAAAATAATTTTTTTTGTATATAATAGAATTCGTCGTCCAAATAAAGAATATAATTAGTGCAACAAGCAGAAAATTAATAAACACAAAAAATATGGTCATTTTGTCCAAAGTTCTCGTTAAAATAGGGCTCAAAACGTCAGAGTCAGAGGGAGAGAATTATATCAGTGATGATAAAAAGATCGAAATCGGGAACATTGTCAAAGCAGACTTTCATTATAGCTCTTTCTTGGCTGTAAAATATGTAATAATTTTAATTAGTTTTTTCATATTCATAAAATTCCTTTTTTTATTATTCATTTGGAAATCATTTGAAATTGCCTGCCAAAAACACATACAGTAAAAGAGTGAGTTTTTCCTCGTAATATTTATTGCCTTATTATTGCTTTAGAATCGCCAAGTGCTTTCAGATGTTTGTTTTTCGAAACATTTCCAGCTTTCATAGTCAAAATAGCAGGAAAAAATCAGTATCATTTAATAATCACAAAAGGCTTCCAAGCCTTTTTGTCAACAAAAAAAAACCAATTATGCATTCACATTTCTTAATAGTTCAACCAATAATCCAATCATCGATACATTTTTTAAATGTTTAAATGTAACTCACTTCAGTTCTCGCCGGGAGCTCGCGTTTTATCTTCTATCGACTGAAACTGGTTTCCTCGAAATGGTAATTTGAGCTCTGGAGCCATATTAGATGATGGTAATCGTTCACAATATATAAATTTAACAACTTCAATAGGTGTAAGTTAATTTAACAATTTCAAAAAATTTAATTATTAATAAATTAATGCCTCTTTTTTCGAGCGAATTTTTTGATACTCTTGCTACTGAAGTGTAAAATTGCCTATCAATTTGTAAATTAGTGACTTTATCAAGTTCCTGAATACCGATAAATATCAAAATTGCCCTCTCGCCACTCGATTTTTTCATTACCGAACGCAATTCATTAAACTTCAGTAGAAATTTTTAATGCCCATAAGGTCACCGAACAGAACTAATGACTTAAGCGACTCGTTCGGAGATGCATTTGAAGACGATTGCTGTCAGAAATGCCAAAGTGAGTTGTTTAGATATGAACAGAGTGTTAACTTGAGCAGTTTACGCTTTTCTATGCATCTTTGGAAGTTGCTTTACAGGTAAACTTAGACACTTCCATATAAATACGTTTTCTAACAACCGACGTACTCAACAAATATCACCACACCGTTATAATTTATGCAAAGAAATATTACATAATCTATAAGAAAAAAAAATAAAAATTATTATTTAAAATTCTACTTACTTAACCAGTTCAAAAATTCAATGACGTTCTTGACCCCACCGAACTGGACTGCTTGATGCTTGACTATTTGTTGTTATTGTTACAGATGCGGCTGCTGCTATAATTGCTGCTGATGTTGACTTTGTTGTTATTTTTTCTTTTGTGTTTCTTTGTTTTTTTTTTACTTTTTCAATTTTATTTTTTTCTTTCTTATTTGTCGTTGCTTTACGCTCGCTGACGTTTATTGCGAAGAAATATTGTATAGAGTCTGATGTTAATAATAATGCGCTGGCCACAACTGACTTAAATAGGCAAAATTTGTATGAAGAAAACAACACGAAACCGGCAATTTTTAAAGACGCGCAATATTGAAGGAATTTAAATAAATAAAAGCACAACAGAAAGAGAAAAAAAATTATTTAAAGTTTAATCAAGTGAGATGCAATGTGATAAATGGGAATGCGTAGTTAAAGAAAATAATAAAAAAAAATATAAATACTTTTAATTGAATTTATATTTACGCAAATATATGTAAATATGTACTTTAAAAGTTAAGACAACACAGTAACCAAAGCACGAAGGTATGTATTAATTTTATGGATATGTATGTACATATTGGACTTATGTACATACATACATATGTTTGTAATGTTTTGAAATTGAAAAAAAAAATGGAAATGAAAAAAGTAAATAAATTATATATGTATATGCGCAGTTTTTAACGCATATGTATGTTTGTATATTTTAATAACACTTTTATAGATCTATACAAATATACATAAGTGCATATGTACACATGTGTTTGTACTGTTTCATTTTAATTTTTTTTTTGTTATTTTTTTTCTCTGCTGTGCTAATGTGACTGCAAATATTGTCGTCAGGATAATGACACTTGCGCACCCACTTTGACATAAATACATGCACACATACATACATATGTATATAAATATGTGTATATACATGCATATGTATATGCAACTGCTATTTACCAGCCAAACATATTTTCGCCAACAACACTTTATGCACTTACACTTTTTTGTTGTTTTCTTACTTGACACAGTTATTTACAAAGTACAAAATCGTTATTTAATATTCAATTAATTGTTTTTTATTAATTTTTACTTTGTTCAAGTTTTTCGCTTCAATTTTCAGATAGAGTTTTAATTTTAAGTTTTTTGTTGTTTTTTTTTTTGTTTCAAATTCGTTTCCGTTTCGTTTAAAAAAGACGTGCGTCGCGTTACGCTTTTCAGGCACAACTGTCAATTTCTCGCTTTCATTTGCTGTTGGACTCGTTAACTCGTACAGAAAGTACTCGTTACATTGCGCACGTCGAACATTTTCGGATTTTCCATAACATTTTCGTTTGGCGCTCATTACATATGTACATACATACCCTTATGTGTTGTTGATTCTCCAAGATGCAAAATAAGCGTCGTGGTTTTTGTGGCCGTGTGCCTTACTGGTGGAGTCGTTTTGGTCGCTGGTGCTGTCGAATGTGTGAGTTCCAACAATTTGTTGTCACTGTGTGACAGTTTTGTGTAAAGTATTGTGCAGTCTTCGCTTATCAACGAAAAAATTCGCTGAGTGCTTTTACATGGATGTACAAATGTGCGCTTAAGAAGTGGGCCAGAGAGCGCTTCTCAGTGCTTAGCAGCTGATAAACAAATTGCGCTGCCTCACTCACTTACTCTCCTTGCGCTCTCTTCCATTATGAGTGATTGTGGAATCTATTATTTACTGCATAACCGTTAATTTCAAAAGATATCCGCTATCTTTCTAAGCCTGGATCATTTTCAGATATTTTACCATTCCCATTGCGGATTCGTTGGTATTAAGCTTCTTTCATCTTGCGCTACATTTCCAAGAGAAATCTCTTGTATGTCAAATTTGCGCGTTCTCCACGAACTCAACAGAGAAATTGTTGTTGTTGTATTCAGTTTAAGAATAACCAAAGCTAGTCTATATATAGTCTAGATAGAGGTTACGCGCTGCCTCGACGGTTAAATGGTTTTTGGAGTTTCCTCTGGCTGCTCGACATATTCTTAACAATTGAATTGTTGCTGCCGCTTGAAGGACTTTTCGAAGGAACGCACCTGTAGCTACTACATTCTGTGAACTCTTTATCTAATGCTCCGAAATTTTTATTCAATAGTAAGGACTTCTTCCCATCCCTAGTTAGCTGGACTAGATAGCCTCAATTTAGTATCGATCCACTTATTGGTCATTTGTGGTGACTGAAAGCTCCAAATTGTTTCAGAATAGTTTTCCAAACGAAGCTTTGTCTATGCTAAGATTTGGCTTTTGGTGGCCAATTCACTCATTTCTCAAGGGATTTCGTTTGAGCAGAGAGCTTGAGTACCTCTTATATATACTCGTAGAATAAATGACGCCTTCTGTCCGTCGTCTTTCCCAATTTCGGAATGAGTTTTGAAATTTTTCCACTTTTTTTCTGAGGCGCGTCCGAATGGCCCAGACATTCCTTGCCCAGTGGTGACGGTAATTAGAAAAAATTATTTTTTCTTTTAATTAACTTTCTGTAATTGTGGATATTGTGTTTGTTGTTTGTTTTATAGTTTGATCAAAATAAATAATCGTGGCTGTCTCCTTGTTTGTCTAAATCAGGACTCTGGCGGACGACGAGTTAAACTCCTAAACGTATCAATTTGTCGTTTGAATAAAGACAGAAACAGTCTCTTAAAGCCAACTATGTAGAGTCGAGATAATTTGTTTGCTGAGTATTTGACCGTTCAATAAAGAGACTCATTTTGCTAACCGCTCTGAGCCACAAAAAATCTTCTTTCTAACACAATATGCCCTCTTGTAACTCGCACTCGTCGCAAATGACGATTGCAAAGAAAGATAGTCTATTTGAAATAATCGAAGCTTTTTCATACTAATGGAAGGAAGCCTACAATACGTAGTTGGACTATCGAGTGAATTGGTGTTGACTCAATCATCATTTAGTCATTGAATCTGATAGTTCAGAAAAATCTTCACCTGTGTCATTTCATTAGTTCCTGGTACGCTTTTCTATGGGGATGACACCCGTGAAGAGAAAGCTTTTGCATGACCTGTCCATATAGTAGTATGCGCGATTTGTAATCTTACAGTTGTAGCCTCGTCAACCACGCCCTCAATAGTAATCGTTCCCACTGTGGAACACCAATAAAATATTGCGTCAGGCAGCCAAAAAGACAGGTAATCTGAGGTATTGCAGACCAAGAGCTCCTTCGTAAGGACCACATCAATCTGGTACAACTATGATTTGGATTGAAATCTTATTTAACCAGGCAACAACCCAGCATACCCAACTTATGTGTGCGATGGAATTAGTCTTCGCGAAAATACCCCCCTCCTCTTGGTGTAAACATCGGAAACGCCCTGATATGATATAGACGGTCTTCAAGAGTTCCCTGTTACTTTTGCTGTTAACCTTAAAGCAGTTGCTTTTCCTTAAGGTATATATGTAAATTTGAATTCCCTTAAATTGAATTCGACTCATAAGTACAACGCTTCAATCAAGAAAAATCTTCCGTCTGCGAATGAAAAAATCACTTTAGAACTTAAATCAAATAATTTTAAATATCACCCTGCGGCTTTTGTTTATTTCACTCAAAATTCTGAATAAAATATGTGGCATAAATTATATATTTAAGTATGCACACACATACATTCATATGCAAATGCTTAGTTAATTGAGGAATTAAAAAAATTACTCATACAACACGTTGCACCTCTACTGATTCTAAGTTCGATTCTAAGCAATTTGAGGGGTTCCGTTGGTCAAAAACGCTTTGAAACGTTTTGGGCTTGTCATTAAACTTGTTTAATAAAAGAAAAAAATATTCAAAGAAAAAAAATTATTTTTTGAAAAATGATGCTGTGGTTTACCCTCTTGAAAACTTAAACATGGGCGGTGTTTTCAATTTTAGCTTTTCTATTTACCTAGCAGTATGAGTGCAGCTATTGACGGAACTTACTTACTTACTTTACTAACTTAAACACTGCTTACGCGATTATAGCCGATTTAACAAGTTTGCGCCATTCGTTTTCGTTCTCTACCTGGTCTTTCCAACGGAGTGGAGGTATTTCTCTTCCTCTGCTTCCACCGGCGGGTATTGCATCGAATCTTTCAAAGCTAGAGTTCTCGCATCCATCCGGACCACCTGACCTATCCAGCGTAGCCATTGCTTTTTAATTCTCTGAACTATATCAATGTCGCCGTATAACTCGTACAGCTCATCGCTCCATCGTCTGCGATATTCGCCGTTGCCAATGCTCAAAGGACCATAAATTTTACACAAAACCTTTCTCTCGAAAACTCCTAACGCCGACTCATCAGATGTTCAACTAATGTCAAATCATCGGCTTACGCCAGTAGTTGTAAACTCTTATAGAAGATTGTACCTTCTCTATTCAGCTTTACAGCCCTTCTTATTCTCTCCAGCCTCAAAGTAAAGAAGTCACACGATAAGGAGTCACCCTGTCTGAAATCTCGCTTCGTACCGAACGGCTCGGAGAGGTCTTTCCCAATTCTGACTGCGCTTCTGATGTTGTCTAGCGTCAGCGTACACAGCCGTATAAGTTTCGCGGAGATAGCAAATTCAGAGATAGCGGCATAAAGGCAGCTCCCATACGTGCTGTCGAATGCGTCTTTAAAATCAACGAAGATGTGATGTCTGTCGATCCTCTGAAACCACACAGATATTGTCCAATCAGTTTGTTGACGGTGGGCTGCAGTCTTTCACACAATACGCTCGACAGGACCTTATAGGCGATATTAAGGAGTCTTATCCCACGGTATATGGCGCAGACTGTGGGTTACTCTTTTTTATGGATTGGTCAGAGCACACCTAAATTCCAATCGTCGGGCATGCTTTCGTCCGACCATATTCTGCAAAGTAGCTGATTCATACATCTTGTCAGCTCTTCACTCCCATGTTTGAATAGTTCTGCGAAATCCACTAGTTTCGTTTGCAGCCCTACGTAAAGAGCTTGAAATGATGTCCCTCGGAGAACAGGAGTGCAAGTCGAGTACAAAATCGTTCGCAGTCTGTTGGGATTGCAGCTTTTCAACGTCGAACTTTCCTTGTGTTTGTTGACGGGCGTTCTTCGATACACAGACGCGCATGCGTATATTCGCTGCAACAACATAATGGTCCGAGTCGATGTTGGGTCCTCGGAATATACGCACGTTTAACACAACATGATCGATTTGGTTTTTCGATCACGGGACAGCCAAGTAGCTTGATGTGTTTTTTATGCTGGAATCTAGTACTACAGGCAACCATATTTCGGGCCCTGGAGAAGTCGATCAACCTCAACCAATTAGGGGATATTTTGTTGTGTAGGCTGAATTTTCTAACAGCGCTCGGCGCTCATAAAAGACATCTTTGGCCAAATCGTCCTTCTCTTTCGTCGGGGCGTAGCGAGACGCTCACCCACTGGGGTTAATTCCAGTACTCGACGAGGGAGTCTCTCTCCCACCACAAGATCGCACTTCTTGGACGGCAGTGATATCAGCCTATTCTTAGGAGGACAGCGGCACCTTCTCAATTAAGGGGCCAGACAAGGTGCAAGCCCTCGTCCGAGGTGTTATAAAGATTTTCATTGAAGCTGGTTTCTACGTAGTGGGCCTCAAACCCAGCGCACAACGAAATCCAGCGCTCGGCGAGTAAGTTTAAAGTTTTCTCCACATTTATATAAGCAGCCGTTTGCTTCAAGACCGACGTCCGCTCGCAGCCGCACTTCTGGTGAATAGACGCTGCAATCAGACTTCGGCAGACTTTAAACCCTAATAAGTCAGAGTGGCTCCACTGAAGCTTCCTCTCTCATTAGCCGTGACCCAAGGCTCCACAGGGATTGGTTACCGCATCTTGCACAAGAGTTGCTCACGTTTCCAGGGTGCGCGACGAGGGCGCAAGAGTAGGAATTGAGTATAGCTTTCCAACTGTAACAGCTTACCCAGAAGCTTGACCCACCCATTTTCAATTTTAGCTCTTCTATTTATTTAGCAGTACAATTTAACTAAAGACACACTAATGAAATTGAAAGTAGTTTTGAGATAAATGAGTTTAAAGTTTTGAGCAACACACCGAAGGTATTGTAAATATGTAAATATCCTTATGTATATTCTAAAAAAAGTCTACATATCAGAAATATCGAAAGAATTCTGGACCACCGGGACCCGTTGCCTAAATTTCTACTGTCTGTTTGTACATATGTATAAGTGGTAAATTATAATTGAACACAAATAATAAACTCACAATGAATGAAGAAAATCAAATTCTTTTGTTTTTTTTTTTAATATGGAAAATTATAAGTAGAGATGAAATATTAAAATCATTACTCGATTTGCACATGACAAATTTGCTTAGAAAAAAGCTCTTACTTTTATAAGAGTGTATGTGCACTTAATTAATCGACTACCTCCTACCACAACAATAAATAAATGCGTTTGTGTATTTTATTTAAATTAAATTTATTTGCAATGAATAAAATATACATTTATTGCCAATAATTTCTACTTATCAACTATTAGTGTTAAGGAAATCACAATATTTTTGTTTAGTTTTCTTCTTTTTTTGTTTGCTTGTTTGCTAGCTTTTATTATTTTATTACAACGTACACACATTACTACACAATATTTGCACAAAATTTAGGAAATTATAAATGAAAAATTTGCTCATTATTTATATATTATATGTATGTATTTACGCACTTCATTAATTCATTAATGCGTTTAAGAAGCAAGAGACTTTAATTTACATTTAATTTATGTTTATTTGCTATGTAAAGCAGGCAAAACAATGGAATATGCTTAAGCTGTTTAATAATTTAATTAAAACAGAGTTTCGTTTTACATATAATAAATTTTTAAGGTATGGTTGAAAATACTCCTTTTTGGATTTTGTTTTGTATATGGAAAAAATCTAACTAATAATAATTTAAATAAATGTATGTATGTAATTTAACTAATTTATTTTAATTTATTTTATGGTTCAATAATTATTCATTTCTTTTTTAATATTTTTTTTTTGGATTTTTTGTTGCTTGTTTATTACATTAAATAGACACACCAGGCGTTCTGGCGTTTTGCTATTTAATTTACAAAGCTGGTTGCAAGTGATATTTGCTAACTACACTTCAATGCATAGAGAACCAAGCCGGTATTTATAGCTGGTAACACTTGTACTGTGTATACTTTCGAGTTTCGCAAAATTAGCTTTAATTTTTCTTTTTTACCAAGATTCTTTTGCTTATTTAAACTACAATAACTACTCGTACATGCATAGGGATAGCTAAAACACTTGCCGGCAAGTATATATTCAAATGCTAATGATCGATGTTTGCTTAAACGCCGGCACGCTCCAATGCGGTTAGCTGATGACCTAAACGTTCTTCTTTGGCCTTACGTTCAGCACTAATTTTCTTTGAATGTGTGTAATTATTTAAAAAGGTTTGTACATCGATTTTACCATTCAGGAATTGCTCTACATGACGTTCGCATTCACTATCAGCATTCGAAGCGGCAATTTGCAGCAGTTCCTGTGGATGTTTAAATATATAATTTTTTTAATTATTAATTATTTAAGTAAATAAAAATTAAATGTATATAAATTTACGCGTATGTGTTGCGGCGCATATTCCTCTGATTTCTTTAAGTACTTTTTATTCAGTTGATCACATTTTTCGCCAAGATTTTTGAGCGCAGTGACATCATCACTCAATTTACGTTTTAGTTCAACTAAATGTGTTTCTTTAGATTCATTTTCACCTGCATAAACACAATGAGAGCTTAGGTTTTATTTAGGTGGTAAAACTTATTTTATACAAACGTGATATTATCTCCACTTGACTGATCATCGAATCGAGTTCTTCGTTTAAATGCTGCACTACAGACATTTCTTCAATAAAATCATCGAAAAATTGCGGATCACTATCCAATTGCTTGAGTTCGTCCAATGATAATGTGGACAAGTTTGGTAGACTACTTTCGTTCATTTTCGATGACTTTGAGGAGTCCAATGGTGAATTCTCATTGCTGCTGTCCAATGATTTTGCCGCATAAGATGTTGGCGTAGCTGTGGCATTATTTATGTTTGTCACACGGGTTGGTATGGTTATGGGACTACCAATATTAGCAAAAGGCGGCGGAAAACGTTCGTATTCACGTATTATAGCTTGCACAACGCGACCAAGATCCGAATGTTGAGAATACTGAAAATAGTACAACAAAAATTAAGCATACAATTATGTACTCATGTATGTATATATAAATACTTTGTGATGCATTTAAGTAAAGATTGTTGTTATTACATTGACCGAAACATGACGCACCGCGGTAGCCGAGCGGTTAATACTGCGTTTTGACATTCGGAAGGCTCGCGTTCATATCCCGGTGCCACCAACACTCAAAAGTTATGAAAAATTAATTTAAATAAAAAATTAAGTTAAACTTCACTTTGTTGGACAAACATCAAGACGCAAAACTACAAATTGGAGGAAGAGCTCGGCCTAAAATCGTTTCGGCGGCTATAAAGCGCCAATTATATATATAAAACATCTGTGAGCCATTAGAAACGGTTTTACATAATCAGTATTATATAACCAAAAACAAAAAAATTTTGATTGCATTATTATTATTTACTACAGAGTTAGTGCTCACCTTTCAGCACTCATATTTATATATTATATGTATGTATGCTTTAATTATGAATCAAACAACAATAACTGCCGGTCACCCTTTTAACATCAATGTAAAGTCCAACCGGAAATAGTAAAATTTCTACACATATACATGATTGCCTTATATGTATAGTGCAGCATCCATTTGCTTGTTGAATACAGCAAGAAGTATCACGAAATCATATGCATATTCGAAAACCCTCAACATATAAACACATATGTAAGTACATTAATATATGTACATATAAGTATACATTATTGCTGCTTGTATATGTATTATCCTTGGTAGTCTTTTGAGTGTGCGCGCAAGAAACCTTGACTGCGTAAAAAACTGACAAAATATTCTCTGATGAAAAATCGTTAATGTGAAGGCCAAATATCAATCAGAGAACTAAAATTGTGAAACAAATAGCAGCTGCTCAATGGTTCCATGATATCCTTGACCGTCACAATATATGTTACAATGAAAAAAAGGCCATTTATGAATTTTGCAAATATAACAAGTCCTTCAAGTAAGCTGGCAAACACTTTAACACTTACGTTGAGTAATCCAGGCGCCGTTTCCACTTCACCCGTTGCCGCATTAACCCAATGATGTTGCACAGTTGGTGATATAACTATTTTTGGTCGCTCATTAGGGAAATTTACACTCAGTTTTACTGTGAGCAACAATGTGCGTCCACTAGATTCGAAATGTATGCAATATTCCTCCTGCTCTGCCACTTCGACAACACTGGAAAGTAGTAGATGTGTGAAATGTGCTAATTACATTGTTATGAAAAAAAAAAATTGAATTTTTTCAACTTACTTATCATTAAATACTTTGAGCGTATCAATTTGGCGTTTGCGAAAGTCCAAGTTATTACATTGCATATGCTGTGGTGGCTGTGCGGTTTGCTGTCTTGGCAGCATCTTCGGATGCAGTTTGCTTTATATATGCTTTTTTCAGCACCACTTTGTTTTTTTCTTTACTTTTATTTGGTCTTCAACTGCTCTACAATTGGTCCTAAATAAAATTTGCAAATTGGAATTTGCTTTTACTCACATATCAAATTATTTTTATAACTTCAGTTCTCCTTAGATTTGTTTGTTGCTCTCAGCCCGGAAGGTCGTCTGGCTACGATGAATTTTATCTTTACACTTCTTTCGTATTTTCCAACATTTAAATTTATTTATTTATTTTCCTTTTTTTCCCTCGTTGCATTACTAATTGTAAGTTGTGGTTATACATATGAGAAAAATCATCAATGTTTGTGTGTTACTATATTTTCTTTGTAAATTTTGCTTTTTTATTTTATTTTTGCAGTTCGATTAAAAATTTTGCAATAAAAATCAAAAAATTGATAAATGTATGAAAAGAGAATTGCTGGAGAACGAATCTTATTTCCACAGTAAACAAAAAACGTATGACGACGTAAATTGCGGTTAGAGTTGCCAATAATCTGTTATAGACAACAGGGGTTGACGTTTTGCAAGGATGTGTCAGTGTTGGTAAATGCTTCAAAAATTTCACAGCTCACAAGTCCATATATGTGTGCCGACAATAAACACAATGCAAATGGTAGAAGGTGATACGGCAAATTTATCGTTAATTTGTACCCATTTGATCGCGCAAGCTATATTTTTGGTATATTTGACTTCTGTATATGCAAAATTTCTATATAAATGCAATTTATAAGTAAAAATAATTTTAGAATTTCATTTTCAGATCTGGATCCCACCAATCTATGTATAAAGGTTCGTAACTCATACTATTTTTCCGAGCAGCCACATTTCCATTGTGTTAATTAAGGGTTAGAAATAACCTAATCGTAATAGTCACAGAAAACTTAAGCAGTCCTATAAGTTGGATGCCCCTAACCGTACATTTAAAAGGAGTTGAAGGTGTCACCATAGTAACTTCACCTAATTTAAATTTGCTTTGACTAATGCTGCAACTACCCATTTTACTTGCCAGCCGTCCATATCAGGCTACGTCAATAGCAAGACACCTACAAAATTCTTGACGTTGCTGAGAACGGCGAAATGTTACCAGCTGCCAGTGTGTTTTTACACTTCTGAACAAATTCATAACTTTCGTCAACGAATTTCATATTTTATATGCTTGAATATAAACACAGGACAAATATACATGATCTATATAGTAACAAATAAATAGTTACGCATTTAGTTTCATAACTTTTGAAAAAAAACGCATTATCTTCGATTATTTAATGTCACTTTAAGAAAGACTATACTGGCAACCTTGTATAGTAACGTAAAATGAGGCGAATCAAATCGCTGTTGGTTTCTGCGAGACAACCGTCACTAACGACATGGGAAAGCGTTGACAACTTTGTGTTTACATGGCGCTCTCATAAGATAGGTTACTATGGACGGCTGGTACGTGAGTTGGGTAGTTGCAGCATTAGTATAAATCTTTTATAAACGTTCATGTTAATTCGGTTATATGTCAACATACCGAACAGCTGATTTCCAAAAATTTGTCAGCACGTAATATTAGGTAAACATTTTTGAGCAAATTATTAAAAATTTAAATGAACATTGCTAACATTTCAGCTTATTATAAAAAATGGCACTCTTTGAGATGAAATGGTTGCGTCGCTGGGTCCGAAGACACACAAGCCCCATACCGGAGGACAATGCAGTTCTGTGGAAAAGGCGTTTGAGTGTCGTATATGCGCTACTCGCCTGGAATGCCTTCGGCTTTGTGTGTTACATGGTCTACACAGGACGCAATGATTGGGCGAGATATTATGGGTTTAAAAGCGAAGATGAAGCTAAGCTAACGCCGGCACAGCAATTTGCAACCCAGTTGAATGTTGATAAAGGTAAAATCATACGTTTCTCAGGCTTTAAACGCATGGGTGAAGTGGAATTTGACAATACCAGTGGAAAAGCAGAATAAATAATATAATTTAGAGATGTGCAAATGGAATAAATAAAAGTTTATTGTTCAATTCAACATCTATAAATGATTTTTGTTTTTGTTCTGATAAACATGTGTGCACAACAGCTGATGGCTGATATGTTTCATAGCAGAGTTGCTATGAATTGTGTTGTGCATTATTAGTTCAAACAAAATATTTACTTTTCCAGAATGTTTTTAAATTTTGGTACATAATAAATATTTGAATCAACTAATTGAAAGTAATTGTCACGATCTATTTTATTTTGGTTTTAATAATTTTAAGTTTTCTTGATATGTTTTCGTTAACTTCTGTTACGTTCTGATTTGACATTACGAATATGTTTGTACTACAGCTAAGTTCAGCTGCTTGACGTTTGTCATTCATGTTGAAGCGGCGGCAAACATTTGGCTTCTAACGATTTGGTTAGTAAAATTTTGCTAAAAGTGATTATGAAGAAGTGATTAATGGTGTTTAAAAAATTAATGTAAGCATGAAGTGCGAATTGTGTGGTTCGGATAAGCTTGATAGCATTAGATACGGTGAATTTCTTACGAAAAATGGTAAAGGCGTGCACACTAACTGCTTGGTAAGTGAACGCATATGCAGACAAATTTCAGATACATACATACATATGTATATGTTTGCAAAAAATGCTTGTAAATTAAATAGGAAATCCGTCTAGTCTACTTCGAATTCTGGCGCTTTCATCAATGAGAAAAATCATAAAATTATTTGCGGTTTTCAACGTTAATAATAATAAATGTTTATTTAATTAATTTAATTTATTTTTGTTAATGGACTGACTTAATTGAACTAGGTTTTCACAAATATATTCAATTCAGATTACATTATCTTTGTTTATAACGTTAATTCTAATTTATTCCTTACCATGTATATAGTATTTATCCTCTGGCATGAATCAAAATGGTAAGGACGATGAAGGAATTCTTGGCTTTCTTATCAAGGATATTGCAGTAGAACGCAAACGGGTGTCCACTATAGTGAGTATCTCAAATTTAATAAGTAATATTACAACTTAAAATATTTACGTATATTTTTCCCTCAGCAATGTTATTATTGTGGCGAGATGTCAGCGAATATCGGCTGCTGCGAAAAGCGTTGCTATCGCAACTTTCATATGATTTGCGGCATGGAAAATGGTGCTATGAATCAATATCTTGACACATATCGTTCTTTTTGTCATAAACATGTGCGAAAAACTCAATCCAGACCAAAAAGGAATGACGATTGTGGAATCTGTTATGAGAATATATTCAATGGAAGTACTCGTTTTAGTTCCGTGAATATGTTACGTGCAACTTGTTGTCGGAACGGATGGTTTCATAAGTATTGTCTGCAAAAATTTGCTAAGATGGCCGGTTATTTCTTTAAATGTCCACTGTGTAATGACTGTCAAAAGTTTAAAAAGGATATGTCCTTTTGGGGCATTTTCATACATGATAAGTAAGTATTTTATTGATTTAGAAAAAATCTTTTAGATCTTAGCCAACCGATTCTGAAAAATTAAATAAATTGTTGCATTTTGTTTATTATATATGCATTGGTATATTATATATCAACTTCATGATTTGAAAGTAGATAAGTTGTTAACACTTAACTATTTTAAATTATTAAGAATCGATGTTATTTCGGTGTCATTTGCTTGTTGCATTTGTTGAATTTCTATTTGAATATCTCACATTATAAAAAAAATAGTGGGGCACTACAAAAAATTAAGCTTTTTATTTGACTATAAATTATTATGTTATATTATAATATTAGCTAGGTAATTATCTTGTATTGCTTTATTTTAGAGATGCCGATTGGGAGTTGGTGCCGAATGCATTTGCTGAACTACTTGAGCGTCCAAGTGTGTGCGAAGCGGTCATCTGCCGAAATGCAGAAGGCCGCAGACAGAAGAAAATTTCAAATCCCTTTATATTTTGTTCATTATGCGGCTCAGTGGCTATTCATAGACTGTGTTTGACTCAAAAAGCCAATTCATTTGAATGTGACAGTTGTAAAAATATACTAAATGCTGTACCAATTTTAAGTAGTATACAACAAAATCAACATAACGTCGAAGAAAGTGAGCAAAATACGGAATGTTCTGATGTAGATGTATGTGGTAACACTGATGATGAATATCTCAGTTGTGATGATTTCACCCCGCCGAGTTCTAAGAAAATGAGTTTGAATCAAATAATAAATGAAGTTGATAATGATGAATATGAGAATGTAAAAACGGATGACTGTTCTATGGTTACAACAAATACGTCTTGTATCGAAACCGACCACAGTTACGCATGTGATGATGAAATTGTACTCAACGTCCATGAAAATAATGAAGATCAAGAAGGGGTCGAAAAAAATATACAACAAATTGGATCTTTTAATAATTCTTATATCGCACAAATATCGGGTGGCAAATCTATGGCCATGCGGTCGCCAGCATTTAAAGATAACGAATCTGAAGCTAATGAAACAAGCTTCACACACTTAAATTATTCATCTGAAAAGGCGAATTCGACTGATAACGGTAATACCTCAAATTTTGTTATGTCCGATCATAGTTACGCTTGCATTGAACTTAGCGATGATGATAATGATGACTGGGCCAATAATACGTTTGTGACTCAACAAAATACTATTAATATAGAAAAATTCCAGATAGATGATAAAGGTGAGTTGTTTAATGTAATTGATACAAAAATATTACATTTTGAATTTGATAAAAACAATATATATATATATATATGTATATTTTAGCATCTGTTGCAAATGCTTTAGCTACCAAAAGCATCCTAAGTGATTCTGAGGCTCAAGCACAACGCACATCTTTAAGTGAGTGTCCTCCTTCAATTAAATACGATGACTTTGAAGCTGATCATATGAACACCTTCATAAGCTCATGCCAATCTAATCAATGTGATCAAGTATTTCATTATGATGATGGTAACGATACGGAGAACGAAGATCACAAAGGAATTGCTAAGGCTTCTCACAGGATAGAAGAAAGCGAGCCTAAAACAATAAATGCCATGGATATGAGTTGTATAGCCAATCGGACACGTCGGCGATCCTCGTTTAAAAACCAAATATCAAATATTGGCAGCTCATTAAAACTTAAGGGCTCTCGTACCGAAATTGTGGATGAAGATCATAGCTCTATGTGCTCTGCCGACTCGTATCAAGCACATCGTCAAGAAGACAATGTGGTTTTCGACTACGAAGCCGATGAAGATTCAGAAGCTGAAACTGGACGTAGGACTGATGAGGAAAAACGATTGAGAAATTATTTTCATCGACTTTTGCACGAGGTGAAACGTAATACGAAATTAAACAACATTTTAGGAAACGTAGATACGAAAACGGATGAGAAGAACATTGTAGATATTTCTTGCATCGCTAATCGTACACGGCGTCGATCGGTTAAAGTGCAAAAAAGTACTCTTCCGACTTTAGAGGTTACGGTAGAGAAACCAATTCAATTGGTTAAACATACTTTAGGCAACTTGACAGATTCGCACACATTCACCTTGTACAACGACAAATCCATTGATAATCGTGATGCTAATTGCAAAGCAGATAGTGGTAGGTCATTCATTGTATTTATATTAATATTTATATATATACATAAACATAAAAATATATTGTATTTTTAAATGTCCAAACAGCGGTGAGTGGCAATGCAGAACATAAAAACCGTGTGAATGCAATACGAAGTAAACAAAGAGGGGCACAAAAACGAAAAAGCGACTTACATGCAAACATACCGGCAAAAATGCCTCTGATGTCGAATACGTCCAACAATCCAAAAGTGGCAACCAATATATTAGAAGTGAGTTGCATAGCTAGTAGAACGCGACGGAAGTCGGTAGATGCTAAAACTTATTTAAATACTATTATTGCGCGAGAAAAAACGAAACCATGCACAACAAACACAGAGAGAAATGTACCAACTAAAGCATATAATTCACTAAGTAGTTGCGAAAGTTCATCTAATGATTTGTCTACAGAGAGTGCAATGTGTGACAATAGCATTGATTGTGTCATGCCACGGACTCGAACTATTTTACCAATAGCAGAAACACCTAGCCGACGTAAGCGCACAGCTCCACGCCGTTTTCTCGATAGCGGAAATGAATACGATACTCACAAAACGAAAATGCCTAAATTGGCAAATTGGGCGAATGTGAAAGAGACTGTCAATGCATATGTGATGCCCAGATATAAGCGTGTTAATGGCAAGTTAAAAAGGGGTGAGTGGTGAAGTGTTATACTCGAAAAATGTGATTTAGAATTTGAATTTATTTTTTAATTTTGCTTAAAACAGAAACTGCTCCACTGCCAGAAAACAACGTAGCACTTACACGGAAACCCTTCGCGCATAGCTATGAGCTACTCTTAGGAGCAACTGACGTTGATCAAGGCGCTAAATCTGCTAGAGCCTAGACAAAGGTGTTGTTGAACCTGCAAGTCATAAAAAATCTGATTATATTACATATTTGAGCATTATATGCTTATTTGTTTGCAATATTATACATATATTTATTCCATTTATTCTAAAATTTATGTTAGTTAATTTCATAGTTTGTTAAATTACTTATATATATGTTTCTTTTTGAGATGTCTTAGGTTTGAAATTAAACTTTTGGTTACTTCTTTCTTAATTTTTATTAAAAAATTTAGTTTCTATGATGTAATTTGTAAACAGAATAATGTATAAACCTACTAATGGTGTAAGTTACTGCCAAAAAATGTATATAGTATATACATATATTTTGCATTAAGATACCCTTTCCTTAAAAGTAAGACTTTGACTTGCTTATTATTTCACCGGCAGCTTTGATATAAATTCATATGTATAATTGAATATATCTTTATTACTATTATAATAATATTATTAGGTTAGTTGTAGTGTTTATTAAAAATAAGCATTGTGTATGTGACTCTAAATATACCACAAATTGTATGTAATATAAAACCAAAATTTTTGTGATGTTGTTTTTTATTTTGAGCTTGCTTAGCAGGTACACTTTATGGTAATTATTAAGTCTTTTTTCCATTTTTTAACACTATATGTTTTCCTCTCTTAATTTTGTTTTTAAATATATGCATTAAATGCCTAATTTTTTAATTTTATATTTATTTATTTTTGTTTTATATGTATTTAATTTCGTATTTGCTTTGTTTTTATTATTTAATATTAATATTCATTTTTTTTCGTTTAATCCAAATTTATCAAATTTTTGTTACCTATTTATTAATTTTTTATTTTTATGTCTTTAAATTTCTGTTTGAACTTTTTATATTATTTATATTTATTTATTTATTATTTATATTTATTTATTTATTATTTATATTTATTTATTTATTATTTATATTTATTTATTTATTATTTTCATCTATATTTGTTTATTTTCAATTTACCTTATACTCGTTTTAATTTTAATATACATATATTTATATACAATTGGCGCTTTGTTACCGCTGATGCGATTTTCGGCCGAGTTCCTCCTCCAATTAGTGGTTTTGCGTTTTGATGTTTTTCAACAAATGGAACAGCTGATGGGCCTTTATTTCATGACAGAAATACACTCGGAGAGGTTGTTCCCTGCCGAGGGGCGACCGCAATGAGAAAATTTAACTTAATTTGTTTTTTACTTTTGGATGTTGGTCGAACCATGGTCTTCCGAGTGGCAGACCGCAATGCTAGCCACTCGACCACCGCGGCCGCCAAGTACAAGTATATAATAAAGTTTGCACGGCGGCAACGTCACAAAACTTTTTTATGTATTAGTTATATTTTTATATTTAATATTTACTATTATTTTTATTTATATTACTTCTCTAATATTTAATATTATTTTTATTTAATATTCATTTTCGTCTAAATGGTATTACTCTTTTCTTAATTAAAATTATTATTTTTTTTTTTATCAATTTCTGTTTGATTATGGCAATTAACGGGGTTGACTTGAACGCACGATTTTTGGTTAACTGGTTTTTTTTTAAACGTCCTCTTAACCGCCTCAGGGTGTTTGCCAATACTTACCCTCATTGTAATACTGAGTAACTTTTCTTAACAGCCAAAATTACAAAATTTGTATTGTATTTTTGTCATTAGTTCAATAAACAAACTTAGTCATAACAAATAATGGATACGTAAATACATAAATATATTACATAAGGTATTTTGACTACAAGCATACAAAACTTTAAAATTAATTTAAATCTTTATTACGCTATGCTAACAGTGCAGCGCAGTGATTCATTGACACTTTCGACATTATTTCGTCATTTTTTATATTGTAGAGCTAAGTAAACTTTCGATTTTTTTAATGAATTTGTACTCGTGTTTTTCCAATATTTGGTAAATTAGCAAAATAATTTATATTTTCGTATTTTGTTAGTCTATTTGAAAAGGCCACTTTGTGGTAAATCTAATTAATTTGTTAAAAAAAAAATCATCACTAAGAGCGCAATGAAGTGCAATCAAGTACTTAAACAATGTTTTCTCATTTGATTCTATTAACAGCGAGCGACTATTGTTACACTATTCAACTTTCGTTGTGACCTTCAATCGGTTTCATAAAATACAATGCATATTCGCGCTTCAATACACTATGTTGGGCACGCTCATATGTAAAGCAGATGCCGCGTTTATTATAATCCAAATAGGTACGCATAAAATGACGATTTGTTTCGTGTACATCTGGATGCTGCAAATACTCCGCAACAGGCATCCATTTGGCTTTAGCAATTTCACGTTCACATTTGTGCACCTCCAAATTGAGCGGTTTCAAAGCCACAACCACATACATATCCGAACAACCAAAACTGCCACCATGTGAATGTCGTATACTGAGCACAGTACGAAAAACACAATCAATGCCGGTCTCCTCCTTCACCTCGCGTATAGCTGCGTTCACAAGTTCCTCCCCTGCAATCGTTTAGTTAGTATGCATATTAGTATACTGAAGAAATTATAAATTTCAAACTACACACCTGGCTCAACATAACCACCAGGTAGTTTCCAACTGTTTGCGATCAATGCATAACGGTCACTAACAACTAGCACCTCATCATTGTCATTGACTACGAGACCGCCAACACCAAGCATGGTGTGGCAAAAGGTTGGTATATTAGCGTATTCCTCCGTGGGTAGCCAACGATACATCACAACAGAGGAAGATGAGGTACAAACATGATGGAATTCAAAATCGGCCTAACAGTTGAGGAAAAAGTTATATATACAAATATTTATATAAGAAAATAATATTCGCACCTTAGCTAATTCTGGTACCCATGCAGCATGCTCCTTCTGCACTGTAAACCAAATGGCGCGGCGTTTAATTGAAATCCAGTAGTCCAAAGATTCTGTGGGTAAAATGTAAAAACAGCTTTATTATTCTAATAGTTAATGATGTATTTAAATACAATTAAATGCTTAAGTCACATGCTTAATTGTCTTCCTAGTGCATTTTACATATGTACATACATATGTAAGGATGTATAGACCTAAGAATAAATCTAGAAAGTTGTTTTATTTTGTTAGAAATTTACATTTAGATAACATACGAGTATTTTCATATCGTAACGTATATCACATACATAAATATACACTTTAGAAACAAAAAGCGGTAACTGAAAAATTTAAAATGCACTTTATGTTGTTGTAGCTATATTTCTTGAAATCCAATTCGGAAGTGACAGAGTTGGCCGGATAAAAATCTATGCCGTTCCGTTATAAGGACCCGACTGTCGTTAGAACTATTGGTTTTTAGTCGCTTCTTACGACAGGTATGCCTTTCAACGGGACAATTCTTGAGCCTCTTACCCCCAGAGCCAAAATAAACTTTATAATTGTATATACTTAATTTAATTAATCTACTTGATTTTCTCCGCAAACTCATTTTTAAAATAATTATTTTATTAAAAAAAATCAAGCGTTTCCACCCAAAAGTACGCCACATTTAAAAAAAAGCTTTAGCTTTTAATGCCAAAAACAATGATATCGAGTTATGGCTTTTTTCATTCAAGATGGTAATATGAAATTATGTACGAACAGATATGAAGCTCAAAAACACACACACGTCTGTTTTTGTTTATCTTTGAAGTACTAACACTTGCCTTGGTTAGTAAATTTCCAGTTTTACTAACAATTTGATAAAAGCTAAATGCAATATACATTTAAATACTTACATATGTATGTATGTACTTACTTACATATCGATCAAAAGCTATAACCTCTAAGAGGTTAAAACTTAAAATTAGCATACATACATACATACATATGTAGGTATATTACTTTTATTAAATTGTTTTTAGCGCCGCTTGATCTTCCGTATTACCACAACATTTAATAAATACTTCCATCACATATTGATGACTGTCACCGAAGGTCACGTGCATATGTACATACATATTTTGTGCATAAATTATAGCAAAAAAAATTTAAAACCTTTTTTCCCAACAGCTTCTAACAAATCTTATCTTTTTTGCCAACTCACTTTGTAGTTTCTTTGCGAAATCCGTCGTTTCATCGTGCTCGCTTGCTGACTCGATTAGTACACCATTGAAGCGGTCAATAGTTCCTCTAAATACACCCTCTGGCGCATCCATAACTACTCCACGGGTGAAACTTTTTCTAAATCAATTTTTGTTAATTCATTTTTTTTCTATTTTTTCCATTGTAAATATTACTTAACTTACTGAAATAATTTGCTTGCACTTGAAATGTAACGCGTTTGCGTTCGCGTTTGTATTCGTTGACAATCACTTAGCAGATGATTGGGTTGCAAATGTGAATGAGACGACAGAACGTTATGACAACAATAACGCTTCTGATTGTGCACGAGATATGAACTGTCAACTGTGCAAATTTTTTTATTTTTTATGAGAAAAAAATTCCTATTACACAACAACAACGGCTTCGCCGTAAGTAATCGCAATGACGACAACGCTGTTGTCACAGTTGGTGATAAAAAACATGAGACGGTGGACAGGAGCCTCGTATTGGGAGACGAAAGTGTCCAGCTGCGGTTATAGGTAAATGATTGTAGCATGTTTAGAACACTTACGGCAAGTTTTTGTTGGCAGAATCGTTTGGTTTGGGTGGAAAATATATTTGTGCGCTGCAATATTGACCACGGTCGACAACTGGAAGATGTGGTAATCCATGTGCGTGCTAACGGACTCATGTCGTACAAATATATCTTAATGACGCTTAAGTACCTATGCGTTTTGTTGGTCTTTCAAAATTCTTTGGGCGTATATGTACGTCGGTATTTGCCACTGCTACTGCTGATCACTTTGTGTGTCTGTACCACAAACGGTGTTATCATTTATCTCAATTACTTGATACGATAGCAGACCTGTTACCAGCAGAAGTTTACATGTATAAATATCCTGCATTTATTGGGTAGTTACAAAAATATTTGATAAGGAGCAGCGGGTATTGATCAGCTAAAATACATATGGTTGCACTTAGGCCGATATTGGATGCTTTCACTAACTTATTAATTATTTTTAATATAATTATATTTTACACTAAAACTAATTGAACAACACAGCACCATAGTTATGTATGTAGATATAACATTAAATTTTTTGCATTAGGCATCACAGAATCAAAACAAACCAAACGACAGCTGCACATCAAAAACAAGGACTGATAAGAATTTGCAGAGCGTTGCCGATAGACAAACAGCTGATCACAATGAGCTGCCACCAGCGAAGAAAATATGTACTAACTAAATATTAGGTAGTACATAAAGAAATTTATAAATTATATCAGAGCAAAACAAATAAAATAGAAATAAAATTAATTCAAAAGTAAAACAAAATAAAATAAATGAATAAATTAGGAGTAAAAATAAAAAAAAAAAAAAATTCAACAAAACAAAATAAATATAATTAAAAGAAACAATATCAAACAGTACAACTAAAATATTAGATAAAACAATATAAAAAAAATTAAATAAAATAAAACTCGAATAAATAAAGTCAAGCAAAATAGAATAAAAAATAAAATAAATTAAATTAAACATACAAATAATGGTTTTATTTATAAATAAGGCAAAATAAAATGAAATTAAAGAAAACAAAAATTAACTGAATATAAAAAAATGATATGATGTAAAATAAATATAAAAAATTTGAACCAAAATAAATAAAATGAATTGAATTAAATAAAATATGAACAAATTAATTTAAATAAAAAGATAAATCAAGCAGAACTCATTAAATAAATTAAATGAAATATGTATATTTAAAATAAATAAATTACATATTTATATTATAATAATTTAAATAGTTTTAAATTTAAACACAATAAGAATAAAATAAAATAAAATTAACTATTTAAAATACGTTAACATGAAATTAATTCAAATTAAATAATTTATTTATTTCATTTAACTTAATTGAAAATAATTTATATTAAATAAATAAAAATATATTTTATTAAATAAAGTAAAATAAAATAAAATGAAAGTAAAATACAATGAAAAAATTAAGTAAAATAAATTAAAATTAAATAAAAAATAATAAAATAAAATTAAAATAAATGAAGTTAAATCAAAAAAATTAAAAACAAGTAAAAAATGTTACGAAATAGAAATAAATAAGATCAGAAGAAAAAAAATTAAACAAATACATATAAAATTTAAATAAAATAGTAAATTAAAATAAAATTAATTTATAAAAATTAAAAAAATAAAAGAAATGTAAGAAAATTATAATCAAATTAAAGTAAATTAAACTAAATTAAGAAAATAAAAATATTTAACAAAAAAATAAAAAATGGAAACAAATTTAAATTAAATATAATTAGAATAAGAAAAGTAAAATTAAACATAATTATTAAAAGTGAAATAAATTGAAGTCAATTTATTACTTAATTCAAATAAACCAAACTATATGAACTAAAATAAATCAAACAGAACTAAAAAAACCGTTAAATATACTAAATAAAAAATACAAAAACTAAAATGAATAAAATGAAGATAAACTAATTAAAATATACTAAAGATTAATAAAAAAAATTAAATAGAATGGACTAAAATAAAAAAAATTGATTAAGCAGAAGTTAAACAGAATAAAAATATAATGAAAAGAAATAAAAAATAATAATAATTTAAAATAAAACAAAATAAAATAAAATAAACTACCATAAAATAGAATTAAAATGAAACCAAGCTATATAATATGAATTAAAATATGACAAAATAAAATGAAACAAAATAAAAAAATTAAGTAATAGAAAATAAACTAAAACGAAAGACAAAGAAGAAGATGAAATGATACGAAACAAAATGAAATAAAATAAGATTAAACAAATTGCGAAAAAGTAAAATGATAAAAAATAAAAAATACCGTAAATGAAATTAAATAAAATGTTTATAAGATAAATAAATATATAAACAATATTAAAACCAAATAGAAACTCGTTATTAATTGGCGCTTTGCAACCACTGAAGCGATTTTCGGCCGAGCTCCTCCTCCGATTTGTGCGTTTGGTCTTGAAGTTTTTCCAACAAATGGAGGGACAGACTGTTTATACTGAACCGCCACCGATCGGCTGATGGATTTTTAAGAGGAGCCTTTATTTCGTGTCAGAAATACACTCGGAGGGGTTGATTTTTCCTACTTTCTTTCTATTATACTGTGTACTGAAAATGATTGTGTATATGTTTATGTGTGAGCTAAAGATAGATTGTCATATACTTTTTATGTTGCTTTGATTATATACAGAGCGTGGTATTTACTCTTACTTTTGTCTCGAAGAAACTCTGACTTTCACTTCCTGGTCATACGGAAATCGATTCAACTTTAATATTTGCAACTTTTTTTTTTACTGCTAAACATTAATTACTCTTGAATGAATGATCCTTTCATTTCAACTGTAACGAAAGTACGCGGAAGTGAAAAGAGTTTATTGAATGGTACGAGTCCATAAAAACACCAGTGACCAACTTATGCTGATAGAAAGTTGCATAAAAGGATTGCAAAATGAAGCGAATTACAACAACTGCCATTTAATTATTTAAAAAGTTTTCCTTTCGCTTACAGTTCACTGTAAATAACATTATTACGCTCAGCAGAAAGAACTGTTTCTTACGCTCTCCAAATTTTCTCTCTCCTCGGCATGCTTTCTGCGCAATCACACTGACCTATGAACCCGTCATAGAATTCAACCTCACTCCCACAGGCGAATTACTTCCGTCGTTAAAATGATATTAATGCCAACATAACAGTAAACACATCGGTGGTTATCTTTTGGTAATATCGTCTCCTCATATTTCACTACGCAATTAAAAGCCTCAACTACATATATTCCTCCGCTGGAGAAGAGGCATGTTATCTTTCTGTTGTGATTTGTATAGTTACGTAGTAGAATTGTAGTAAATTTCATACCTCTTGGTTGTGACGACACAAGCGGATGGGAGCATCGTTTTGAGATTAACATGAGTTCTGCATAACTCGTATTACCTCTCTTATCAGCGCCTGCATCGTCTATATAAAATGGAGCATAGCTGCGGAAGGGAAATTAAATAGTTATAGGGCGTAGTTTAAGGGATCCTCTCCTAGAGCAGACCCTGACTCTGCAAAAACAGTCCATGATAAGATACAGGGGCTTGCAGAAGGTGTCAAGACCGGAGCAAACTCTTATTGGGCACACAGAGGTGATCTAGTTACGGATGCCTAGAGTATACTGAATTTATGGAGGGAAGACTTCTCCAGCCTGTTAAATGCCATTGAAAATAAAACACCCGAAGATGGTGAACGGAAAACCGGGAGCGTGGATGATGGAATAGACTTTCCATTACCCGACTATGACGAGATTCGAATAGAGATTGCCCGGCTTTTAGTGCAGCCTAGTTTTACGAAAATATGTAAATACAATTTACTTAAAAGTATCTCAAAACCTGGACAATCGACAGACTCCATTTCCACTTGAAAAGTCCTTCATCCCATAGAGAAAAGGACTTACTGAAGCAATTGAAGTTCATTAATGGGGAAAGAAATAGAGTCGGTAAGACCTTTCTAGCCAATGAATGGCAAAAAAAGATATATTAAGCAACAAAAAGGAAAGAAGAGGTCTCCAAGAGACTCTAATATGATCAAGCTCGCTTAGTTATTGTCAAATGGACTTGAAATTAACCAAATCCGACTCTCTTCTTCTTCATTGGCGTGAGCGCCTCTCACGCGATTATAGCCGGATCAACCATAGTGCGCTATTCGGTTCTTCTCTTCCATCCAATAGAGTGCCACCGGCGAGTACTGCATCGAATGCCGCCAGATCACTTTCATTCAACGTAGCCGTTGTCACTTCATTCGATGTCATCTTATAATTCGTATAGCTCATCGTTACATCGTTTGCGGTATGCAGTATTGCCGAAGCTCAAAGGACTATAAAACCTTCGCAAAACTTTTCTCTTGAAGACTCCCAGCAGACTCATCGTATGTCGACATCGTTCACGCTTTTCCACCATATAGTGTAACGGGAATAGTGAGTGACATGCAGAGTTTTGGTTTGGCATGCTGTCACTCGGAAGGCTAAGACTCAAGTCTTAGTCTGAACGAAATCCAAAAATTATATGAAATTAATTTGAATGAAAAATGCCGAGACAAGAATGCAATGACTATTTCTTTGATGATCTATTTTATCAAGTGTGGAGAAATTATGTCATCGGCCTACGTCAGCAGTTGTACACTCTTGTAAAACATGGATCCTTTTCTATTTCTCGAGCAACAAATTGAAGAAATGACACGCATCAGTTAGGAAACATCAAATTCAGGCATGGCATCGGAGATACAGCTTCTTACTGTGCTGTCGAAGACAGTTTTAAAATAAATGCGAAGGTGATGTTTATCGATTATTTTCTCACTGGCCTTTTCCGAGATTTATCGCATGGTGAATATTCTGTCAATGGTGGGTTTTCCAGCTCTAGAGCCACACTGCTGCAGCTACAGTAGCCGAGTTTCTGAGTTAGCATTGCCTACTGTCATTCTAAAGGCCACGGTTCGAGTCCCGGTCTCACCAACATCAAAAACTTATAGAAAATTAATATAATTTAAAAATGAAGTTAAATCTTCTTATTGCGGCCGCCCCTCGGCAACGAATGTAAACATTTTCGAGTGTAGTTATGGCATGAAATAAAGGTTCGTCATAAAAAGCCATCAGCCGTTCGGATGCAGCTTAGTGTAAACATTTTGTAAAGAAGCTTCGAATAGCTCAGCAGGTAACCCATCAGCTCTTGTTGTTCTTAAAGCGGGCAATTGCTATTCGTATCCGGTCATAATTGGTTAATGGGACGTATTTTTCATCATCATTGTTTAAGGCTTCAGGTTCGCTATCTCCGGGTAGTGCATTTTCTCTGCTATTCAACAGATTTCCACATTGATGCTTACATGAGTATGCTCCGGTCTTGGCGCCTGGTGTTAGTCTACGCATCTTTTCATAGAATTTTCGATCATTACCAGCATTACCATCGGACAGCTTCTTAAGTTCTTCATACTCATGCTAATTCCTCTTTCCTCTTCAGCACTGGGTACTTATGCTACCCCGCACGTGTTGTGTTTCGATTTACGCAATAATTTTAAGAATTACTATTTGAGGGCTTGCACCTGGAATGTCCGGTCCTTTATTGGGAAGGTGCCCAGTTGGTTGATGTCATCGAAAGAAACCTATTTCTAAAAAAATATTGCCTCTATATGTCTATATTTGACTTTATTTACATTTAACAGCTTATGTATGAATATTTATTTATATATACAAATGCATATGTACATAGGTAACCTACAAACAAGTGCTTTTAAGCAAAATTACTTGACATCAGATGAAATCTCTGACACAAAGCTTTTAGCTAAATTGAAGACATGCTTATAATTAGATGCCCGGAAATTCCAATATAACGAAATATTTCATGTACCGTTAAAAATACTACGTATCTTTTATGTGAATTTGCATATCAAACAAAACATAATACATACATATATGCACATACAACGCATATGTTCATTCACATGTTTATCAACTTTTCCGCCCCATTGTAGGCGCATCATACACACAGCGCCTATTAGATGGCAAGCAAACAAGACAGGATACAAATGGTATATCCTTGTTTGACTAACCATACAATTAACACAAACACATGCACACACACAGCAGATAAAAAGCTGATATGAGGAAACGATGCCGAAGTTGAAGAAAAATACAAACAAAGCGTCTGCTTGCTGTGCTGTTAAATGGGGAAAAATATTGCGCATACGCCATGTTGTATGCTAGTGCTGTTAAGTACAGCATAACAGAGAGCACGGAACTTCACGCTGTATTTACATTTGGGAAAGTGAATTGCTGTTAGGGTGAGTGACGTAAACGTAGGAAGGATGTTTAATACACAAGCTAATATACACAAGCGTTGCAGCAATGCCTTTATGGTTAGGTATGCCGTTGGCATGGGTGCTGTGCGATTATGTTGGCATAGGTTAGGTGTATGAACAGCGGCTGCTGCGACTGCGATTGCTACTGCTGAAATAGCGCTTACTGTTAAACTTCGGGAGAACAGTGTATTGTATGGACAACAGAAGTAATAAGCATTTGTTTGGTATAAATGGCGTAGACATTGGGGCGGAACATGTATTAACATTTGAAGACTGTGAGGTAGCTGAGCTATGCGAGAGATATGCAAGATATAATATAAGGGAAATAAAGAAAAAAATCAAAATTAGTAGTAAATTAAGGAAAATTAGCAATTTTAGGGAGTGCGAATAATGCTTAAAAATAATAAAAAAAATTAAATAATTAAATATAATAATCTGAGTGCTGTGAGAGTTTTAAAGGAAAAAAATAAAAACGTGTTAAATGAGTTGATATTCTTTCTGGAGAATAACAATAACAATAAAAAACAGTTTACGAAAGCGTTTCATGTAAATAAAATTTGGGCAACTAGAAAGAAAAACAAAGTTGATTAGTTTTAAACAATTCAAACTGCGAGTAAAATTTAATAAGTGATCAACTGAAGTTTTCCGCTACAAACACCCAAATATACTACCTTTAAGACTAAACAAAATGGATGGCTATCAGGATATGAGCGAATTGGAAAAATCGGTAAATATTATTTATTTAATTAATTGCTGATACAGTAGCATTTAAAATGTATACAATAAATGCTGACCTACTACTTAGCCACTCCAAAGCAATAAACATTAAGCTATGATTTTGTGCAATTTTGTTTACCGTACACTTACAATGAACCAAATTTTATGCTTCGCTTGCGCTTTGCTTTACTGCTCTCTCTCTCTCATGCACTTAATCCTTAAATATTTAATGTCGTCATTGTTAGTGCGAAAAATGGCAATATAAAAACACAATGACATATAAACAGCTGTATCTGTATGAATATAAACATCTTCATTTCACCCTACTCACACTCTCAATTTTTTTATTTTTTCTCTTTTTCTTCCATACCAAATATATATATATGTATACACGTATTACAGGTCGCTCATGCGGGCACTCAACTCTATACAGTGGCACACAAATTGCACGAAGTTGAAACGACATTGGATCACACTAGCAACCTGGATGATGTTGATGGCGTTTGTGTTATGGAATTACTTGAGTCCATGGAGGAGGTCAAGGCGGAATATCATCACTTGGTACAGAATTTACGTGAAGTGCATCAGTTGCAGCGTGACGTCACCACATCGATACGCTTTCAAATGCGTAGCATGCAGCAGACCTTCGAATCGTTGAAGAAACGTATTGAATTGCGTGTCACTCAAAATTAGAAAAAAAAATATGAAGAAGCTGATACTGAAGGTTGTAATGTACTTACGTTTAGTTTGCTGGCTGGTAGCTGCGAAAATACGTAAGATGGAAAATTTTGTGCATACTCGTATTTGATTTTAATTCATGGTATGAATTTATATATATAATTTAATGCTTATATAAAAAAAAATTATAAGCATAACTGCGAACAACTTTTTTTCTTCTTTTTTTAATTAGAATAAAACAAAATTGCCAAAAAACGTTAAAAGTAAAAATTAAGTTATTGAGCATTGCAAGGATTTGTAGTCCTTTGAAAAAAGAAAACCACGATATTGATCCATGATGACCAACTTAAGATTAAATTAAAGATGGCATACCATCCGCGTTTGTAACAACCATAACGATATTCAATTATTGGTACCATAACCATAAACAACTGATACAAACTTTTTCCCACAAAAACATCATGAAAGTCTTATGAGATTTTTTGCCGATAATTAAAAATTAAAAGTTTCTTCTGCTATCGCCATTCATTTCATCACTCGTACGTTATAAATAAATACTATCATTACTCTAAACATAAATAAATATAAATGGCGCTTTGTAACCCCTGAAGTGATTTCGGCCGAGCTCCTCCTCCAATTTCTGTTATGCATCTTGATGTCGTCCCAAAAAATTGAGGGACTTACAGTTTACTCTTACAGACCTATTCTCACTGTTACCGGTATAGTAAATTTTGTTACTTTTCTTTACTACCCGAAATTGAATTTGGTATTCTGGCGAACTGGTTACAATGTTCGAAAAAAATTTGGCAGCACTGCTTTTTTCGTCCATGTCAAATTACATTTGCCAGTTGATAAAGTAAAAAGAAAAATATTCACATCAAAACGGAAGGCGGTGCACCAAAAAAATTAAAAAGTTTTATTAATTTGTTTATTAAATCATAAATAAGCAGAATGAAAACGTTATCTTACGAATTAAAGGGATATTTTTTAGTCTCGAAAACTTCTTAAAATACGGCTTTTTGCAATTTTTTCTTCATCTTTAATGAATTCCAGGCCTAAAATATGCCTACCCATTTTGGTTTTTTATTTTTTCTCAAATTTACAACACAAAATCAAACAGCAGATATTTTTGTTACCTCCTATTTCGCTGGAAACAAAATTGACAGGGTAACAGTGAGCTCAGAATACGAAATGGTAACCAAATTTACTGAATGGTAAATTATAATACCTAGGTAAATTTTGTTACCTGGACAGAATAGGCCTGTAAGTCACCTCCGAATGGCCGATAGTTTTTATAAGAAGCTTTGATTTTCATGTAAGAAATACATTCGGAGGACTCGACATTGCTTGCCACCCTGCCCGGGCGACCGAAATTAGAAGAATTAATTTTCGATAGTTTTGGATGTACCTGCACTCGAACCCTGGTCTTCTGAGTAACAGTAGGCTATTCTAACCACTCGGCAAGTAAAGCATTTTATTTCCTGTCGAGAAACAATCTTTCTATTCGGAACATCCAAAAATTATACATAAATGGCGTTTTGTAACCGTTGAGGCGATTTTCGGAAAAAAATATCAAATATTATATATTATATATATTTAAAAAATGTTTAATTTATTTATTACGCTGACGGTAAACTTTTAAGCTGTTGGCGATTTCCAACCAAGCTATCTATATTTAACAGATTTTTGTCATAAAGACACAGAAAAATACGCACTCATTTTATGAAATTTTTTCAATCAACTTTTAAATTTTATAGATTAATTTTGCCTAAAAGTTGATTTGATGTACTTAAAAATAAAGAGAATTAAAAATAAAAAATTAAACTAAAAGCAACATGCACCAAAGCACCAATCAACTGTCTGTGGCCTGCGGTGAAAAGCCAAAATATATTTGGCAATAAGCTTTGACTATGGTTTTGGCCACGGCATTATTGTATGGCACCAATAATTGGAAACAGTAATGCCCATTAAGTAGATTGGCTATGAGTATGGTTGTGGCATCTCTAATTTAACCTTAAGCTAGGCTCTAAGAGCAACTTCCTCTGCATGCTGAAAGTCAAGCAAGTAAAGTAAGTTTTACTAATTTTCTTGAAAAAAGTGTTAACGATACATCTATACACATAAATATTTATGCTCAATCACCCTTTATCTAAACTTCACTTCCAATGTCTCACTGGGTCCCATTGCATAGCCATTTCATATATGTATGTGTATAGGTAAACTGCCTGCGGTGTATTGTGTTTACATTTATGTCCTGTAAATGCATTTTCACGCTTGGTATGTATTATTTCCGCGCAAAATGTGCAGACGTCATTGTTACTGGTCAAGATTTTACTACACAAGGGCTGAAATTTAAATATACACATATGCTTGTACATAAATATGTGTTGAAATACATAGGAGTTTTCAATAAAAGGATAAGTGGTCGTACAAAGATCGAAAAACCAGATTATGGTCCAGCAACTGCGCAATTCCGGTGCCCTTAATGTATTTCTTATCTTATTGTTTAGAACAACACAGATATCTACGAATTGGCCTATTTTTTCCAGTTAGTAAAATTGCTTGCTGAATTTTTCTTTTACTTTAAAGTAAATGCAAATGTTAATTTGTTTTACAAAAATAATTAATTTAAATAATATTACTCAGCTGATTCTGTCAAAAATCACTTCGAACGAAGAGCTCTCTTTAGAGGACAACGACTAAAAGTCGCTGTGAACTGGCTAATTCAAAAATTAGTAAACTTTTTGAATCTTTTTAAAATAATTTAAATTTAAATTGCTTTATACTTCAGTGCTCTTGTGAGCAATTTATTTATTTTACTTTCGAAATGTCTTTTTTTCTGTTTAAAAATATTTTTATTTCAGAATTTTTTTTTAATCATGCACTTAGAGAAATAAGACAATTTACTTAAAGTAAGAATTAAGCAAAGCAATTTAATGGACTTAGTCTTCAAAAACAAAGTTGCATTTATAATGTTGTCACAATATTAAAAAAATATTATTGTATTGTAATCCTAAATATCTTTAAGCCATCAAGAAACTCAAAAATTTATATACGAGTAACATCTTTTGCACTATTTATGTATGTAACTACGACTTTAACTGCAAATGAAAATAAAAAAGTCAAATCAAAAATTTCACACTGAAATTTCTAGAAAAAAAACGCGATTGATTACTCTCGGTTTCTTGATAATAATTACAAATACAATGTGTCTATTAAAAATACATTAATAAATAATATTAAACACACAAAAAGGTACTATAATTTTTTAGTGATAAAAAGTTATGGTTAAGCATTTTTATATTAGTAAAAAATATTTATTTTATTGCATTAAAAATATGATTAATTTCAATAAATAATCTGTTTGATAAATATTATTTATAATAAATATTATTTCATTTTATATTTAAGTGTGAACCCACCCTAGAAGTTTTACTTACAACAATTTAACTTTTATTACAAATTTTAAGACAAAAACTTTGAAATAGTAATAAGGAAGAAATTTACCAAAAAAATAAAACACCACAAAAAATATTAAAGCTTTTTATTTACTATTGCAATATACAAACTGTTACAAATCATTTCAAATATCTGCTAAAAAGCAAGAAAAATGAATAAAAAAATTTAAATCAACTTTTGCTGGACTTGCACTGAAATTATATATGTAAGCTCAAATATAAGAAATGAATTGTAAGTAAATATTATATCTATGTGTATGTATTTATTTAAGTGTCAAGTAAGTAAAATCGTTCATTTCATGATTTCTAATGGTCCTACAGGCAGGTGGGTTCATAAATGGAACAGCTGTTTGCATTTTCGCTCCCTTTCTCAATTTTTCATTAATACCTTTATATGTTTAACCACACACATATAGATACATACATATGTAGATCATATACAGTTTTCTTTTGGGTACAATTGGAAATGGCAACAAAGAAAAGGAAAGGCACGTGACTGCAGGTAAGTGCACGACAACTGTGCAATGAGTACAGTAAATATATTTATGTATGTACATACTTAAAGAATCTGCAAATATATACCTATACATACATATGTATTTATGTATGCCTGTATATATTGTATGAGGTGAAGCAAATGATTTTTTATAATCTCTTTCAAAATTTATAAGTTATATATAGAACGCACGTCATATGTCCAAACTGTGCATAACGATATACCCATATTCACATACATACATACAAACATAACTATGTGCATTATAAGTAGTTTGCTACGCTTTAAGCACGACACTCAAAACAGTATTTGCAAGAATGTTAGTAATAAACATTTATTTACGCGAAACCATTAATTTGGTTAAATACTCATTCATAAAAAATAAATTAATTTCTTAAAATATTTACTTTTATACAAATATTACAAATCTGACTGATTATAGCCATATTTATTACAATTGGCGCCCTCTTAGTATTTCCGCTGCACAAATGGTGATTTTCCACCAACAGTTCTAGTGCCACTGTAACAACAACAGTTTCTTAACGACACTAAAAACAGCTGTTGACAAGCGCCACCTGATTTTCGCAAATACGCAACAGGATTATTTAGTGCATTCCAACACATTGCTTACAACAAGACAATCAACTTTATTAATATAACTTAATTGTAAGGTAAACTTCTTCTTTCAGCAACATGAAATAAAATTGTGAGAATAATTGCAATATCATTGAAATTTACTTCATTCCAGCATTTTAAAACAAATAGCCTTTAGAGAGAGCTGGCAACATCAAATAATTTTTCGTTCCGCAAAACGCACTGGAAGCAATCAGATTTCATTATAGCTCAACAAGAAGCCTTAAAATCTTTTGCTAATTTGTTAAAGTTAAATTAAAGCATATAATCGTATAGTTTATATTGTTTATTGCAAAAAAGTAACAAAATAGTTTGTGAAACAACCAGTTTGCTCAGTTTAATCAGGTGAGTTATCAAACAGCTACATACGTAGACTGGCAGCGCAGTAGCGTAATTACAAGCGATGCTGTCGGCGGCGTTTTTTTGCCGCACGCAGAAAAAAAATCCAAAAAACTAACTATCTTCAGTTTTTGTAAAGCTTAAAACTAATTATTTCAATACATCTTTTTAATTCAAAAAACTTTTTGGGAATTACAATTTCAGGAGCAAAACTCTGTGACAAAAGCTTTGCATGTTATAATTTTACCTACAACGTACATAAACGTGAGCACATAGTTGTAGCAGCACGTACACATATTTCAGAGCATAGTTAATTTGAATCTACATAGCAGCTGCAGCACATCGGATTCGCAAGAGAAAATCTCTTGTCTTCTTTGCGCCTGTTCCTTTTCCAGCAAGGGTCGTTGCAACAATAATAAGAAAAAAAGCATTTTTGTACTCCAGTTGCAAGCTCGAGCAACAACTACGCCTGTGTGAAGAGTTGCAGCTGTAAAAGCCGGGTAGTTACACGTTTCGTATACATACATACACCTATTTACCGGTCGTGTTGTGCACAGCGAGACGCCTTCTCCCTGCTGAACGTCTGTCTGCAGTCTATAATCGTCAAGATTTTCGCCATTCAACGATTCAGTTCAGTCTCAGAGCGCACATCCACCAGTCATCAACGCACCGCATCAGCTGCACGAAACGTTGTTATTTAAATTCTGTAAAATTATATATATATATATTATATATTGTTGCTTTCTTCAAAGTGCTAGCAATTGGGGTATTAACCATATTTTATACACCCAAGTCTTAATATTGAACGCTAGTACAAAATATCTGGAGTTTTCGCCCTACTAAAAAGTCGTTGCAACTTACATACATACGTCTGCTGTTTGGCATCGACAAATCGCTTTCCGTTGCGTTTGGTGTCTGTTGTGTGTGAAGTTGTGCACATTCGTCTGGGTATACGCGCCCGTGTACTAGAGTTGTGCCGTGCCTTTTTGTAGTCGTCGCGATCTGTGTCGTTGTCGTATCCATTGCCGGTTCCCGTACCCGTTTTCAGTCGGTATTGTCGCTATTGTTACTGTGGTCGTGTATCTCTGGTCTGCGGAATTCACCGAATCGCATTTTCGTTTTGCAAATTTGTTGCTGTTGTTTTTGCCACATATTTGCAAAAAACGAAAAAAGAATAAGCTTGAAAAACGAAACTCAACTTCGATCTCCTACAACAAGAGTATCTTCGTCATTGTGCTGTGAGAAGAGTAACGAAAATTTTAAAACGTACATTGCCGGTTGTGAACTTCGTTTTTGTGTGTCTATAACATCATATCAATTCCAGAGTGGTGGCAAGAGTGAGCCAGCCAGCGCCACATTCGTATTAACGGCCGACGTTGCTAAAACTTCAGGAATAAGACATATTGCGAAATTTAGGAATTCTATATTTTTCATATTGAAAAAAGGAAGCTAAAAGCTAGAGTTAACAAGACGCGTATCTAGCAAAAAAAAAATAAAAATACTTACGGCGAATCCCATAGAAGTTAGTTACACATTCCGGTTTTTCGTTACCTTCAAATAAATGGTTAATATGGAAAACGCTGAAGAGGTTATGCAAATTTTGGAGCGTTTCACGCGTCTTAAGCAAAAGGAGATACCCAAGGAATTGGACGACTATTTGCAGTACGTAGCCAAAACCGGTGATACGGTCTTTAAATGGGCAAGTCTGAAATATCTGTTCCGCGAGAAGCTGCTCAATGTGATTAAGCATTTCCACGATACATCGCCTCGTGTAGATGGTGAGTAAAGAATTATGTAAATATATTTATCATATATTACAATAAATCCATGTGTGTCTGCGTATATATATTTTTGTATACGAGTATGTACCAACTTAACTAGCGTTAATCCTTCTGCTTCGTGTTACCACGAAGGAGATAATGATGAATGAATAAAAGTGGTAATGGTGGTGACTGCCAAAGTTTATTGCCATGCCGGTAATTCCTCTTTACTGGATACTTACTAACCGGCTTTTCAAACTTATGCCTACCTATGTACGTACATGCAGCTTTCTGCTTTCCTTAATTTGCACTGCACTACGAACATTTGTATGAAATTTTTCTCGTCATTTTTTTCCTTGTCTTTTGTTGCGTTTTTTTTTATTCTTTCGTCGCCAAGTGGCAATCGAAAATTGTCTGCTTTGAAATGCTGTTTCGGCGTGTGATGCGGACAACTTTCTCCTTGACAAATACCAAAGTTGTGAGAAAATATTTGTTTTATAGAAAAAAAAATAAAATAAAAAAATTTTATGTTATATTCTAGGTGATATATTCATATATGCTTTTTATCATTAATTTAAAATTTATTAAAAAATTATATATGTAGATAATATGTGTGTGTATATAAAGAACATTACAAAAAGAACATTAGCAAAAAATAAATGTGTACATACATAAATGTATTTAAAAAAAATTAAAATTTAAGTAAATTTATAAATTTGTATTTCTTTGCACATTCAATGGCAACTCAGGTGTATTGTCTGGAATTTATGCACATTTTTAATTTCGCACAAGCACAGTACATAATTTTTTATTGGTTTTGCACGAAATAGCAAATTTAAAGTAAAAAATATGAAGGTCACGCGCGTCTAGGCCAGTGCTGATACCACATTAAATATAATTAAGTGACAAAAAATTGCATATTTTTTGTTGCTGTGGTTTTCATGTGCTCAAGAAATTAACACAAAAAAAAAAACGAAAAATGGAATGAACAAATTAGTTAATGAATGATAACTTCATTCCGAATTAATTAAAAAATTTATTAATCGCACTTCTGTATGTATGTAGGTAAATAGCAATACGAAAATGACACATAAATTTTTATTTAAAAGTAATTTTGCATACAGGAAAAATTGTATAAATTGCAAGTGCGAAGCGCAAAAATGTTCCTTTTTGAGAATTTTTATTTATAAAAAATATTTTTAGTAGATTTTCTCTCCTACTTCTGCCACTTTATTCACCTGTTGACTTCTTTACTCAAAGAAATCTTAATGCTGGTATATAAATATGTATTTATGTATGTATGTATGTATGTATAATTAATGCCTGCTTCGCTTGGCGAATATTAAGTAGGCTTTAAACTTGCTTAGTTAAGAGCAACAACAAAGTATTAAGGTCCACTACCTAAGGAATATCGCTAAAAAGAGTGCGCAAAAATAAATAAATAAAACATACATATATTTATGTACTTATGTATATATCGCACATTATGTAAATTTTTTTGTATGTTCCTTTTAATCAAAATCGAAGACGCGACAGTTTGTGGTGGTGTACATACCTACATATATGAATTGACATAAAGAAAGTTAAAAATGTAGCATGTGCGAATTTACGCTCCATATTCCTTAAACACAAATAAATATATATATTTACTTGGCACATAGATACAGCTGAATTTGAACACAAAATAACTACGCTGATGTACATATGTAAAAGTCTTTGTATTGTACATAAGCGATTGGAACTTTAATACTTTTTTTTACTTTCGCATTTAACACCACCACTCATTCACTCATTTGTTTGTGCGAATTTATTGGCGAGAGCTGCGCACGGAAAATGTTGAAAAAAATGGAAAAAATTCGATTGTTATTCTTCGTGCAAAAACCTTACTCCCATTACACAAATTCTTACTTTTATGTACACATAAAATACTATTTTATGCTTTTAATTTTTTATTTTATTTATTGTTGAACAAAATTGTTTAATATAGGCGCAAAGTATTAGTGAACTTTTAATTATAAATTTGCTTAACAAAAACCATGCAGCGATGAAGAATCAGTTAACATTTTTTATTAATATGTGTTCATGTAGATATGCACATACATACATATGTACATGGTATTTTAATTACTTAAGCTCTGCGTTATGATTTTACCTACTATCGCGCTGACTAATCGCTCCCAAAGGCTTTCCTGTGCGTCAGAAATGGGCAGATAATTTTTTTTTTATTTTGCGCTGATAAAAATTTGTTGGCATCAGTTGGTAGATGTATTTACGTATGTGGGTATAAATGGCGTTTTCGGTAAACGCCTAGTGGATTTTTTTTTGTAAAAACAAATTATCGAATGTTTTAATGAGAATTTTTGCCAAGCAAATTAAAACAAAAACAAAAAAACAATAAAAAATGACAACTATTACTACACTTTAAGGCGTTTAACCTTAATATACATATACAATATATATATTTTTTTTTACTTATATTTTATTATTATTTTCAACAAACATTCGCTCTTGTGTACCTATGTAAATAAGTACTTAACTGCTCTAGCTTTTCACACCTGTTAAGTCTTTAAACGTGAATTATAATTTACCATAATTGACTGATGACGCTGACTCTTGTACTAATTATTATTTTCGAAAAATTAAACACAAATTTGCGCTTCCTTTTTTGTTTTTTTTTTTTGCAAATTTTTCAAACCGCAAGCAATTAATGTTGCAAAAATACAACAAAAATGAATACTTAAGTAAATAATCGACGGTTTCCAGACTCATTTTGATGTCAAATTTAAAGCAGTTTAATTTACCTGGTGATTTTTTTAAATTAATGGGTATAAAATTAATACATAATTACAGTTTGTTTAATATTGTGAATCATGAATATTCCATGAATTCTTCATGAAATAAGAGTTGGAAAATCGTAGACCTTTCAATTTTAGGTGAGTTACACATGTGCTCACATTATTAGGCCACTCATAGACCAGTTTGAAAATTCTTCATAAAAACATAAAGAAAATAATTTGTTTTCATTTGCTTTGATTTTTTTATGGCAAAGAATTATTAATTTTCATAAAATTATTTCTTTATTTAATGTAACACCTTCGTGTGCAACACTTTTTAGAATAATTGCCCTACGCCGATTACTCAGACTTTCTCCATTGAACCGGAGTAATAAACCAATTTAATTAACTATGCCTCCGAGACTGTAGAACACACCCACGCTATTACCAAAGAAGCATTTTTTGTTTGTTTATATGGTGATTGTCTTACACAGGGTCTACCATCGCGCGTTGCTCCATACCACCAGGTTCCAGAATATCGAGTTTTATTTGGAAGCCTCTCGCTTTTGGGGTGCAGCTCGCCCATCTACAGAATTCTTTTGTAGTCCACATTGAACTTTTTTGTTCTACTACGAACAATTCTGCAATCATCTTACTTTACTTTCAGCGTTCCATCGTCTGCGATATTCGCCGTTGCCAATGCACAAAACACCATAAATCTTACGCAAAACCTTTCTCTCGAAAACTCCTAATGCCGACTCATCAGATGTTGTTGTTGTTATTGTAACCGCAAAAATATTCCCCGAAGTACTTTTTGTGGAATGTTGCGGCAGTGACAGTCCTTGGCCGGATAAAAATCCAAGTCGTTGCGGTATAAAGACCTGACTGTCGCGGGAACTATTGGATTTTAGTCGCCTCTTACGACATGTATGCCTTACCGCGGGTAAATTCTTGCCCCCCTAACCCGCAGGGGTTGTCAGCGTCCATACTTCCGCACCATATGGCAGGACGGGAACCATGACTTTTCAATTGCCTACCCAGTCTAAAGTAGCACTTTTTGGAAAGAGTGATTATGCGCTGGATTTCAAAGCTGACGAAAAACAAAATTACGTGGGAGCCAAGTCGCAAATGCGATGACTGTTTGTTTGATATTTTCTCTTGTCCTCGTTCACTGCCAGGCCCATTCGCTTCGCTGCTTTATCAAGCTTGAAGAAAGCAGAACTAACGGCACAGTTTTTGAGGCCGATAATGTCAAATCATCGGCATACGCCGGTAGTTGTACACTCTTATCATTTCAGCTCTGCAGCTCTTATTATTCTCTCGCATCAAATTGAAGAAATCACACGACAAAGAGTCACCCTGTCTGAAACCTCGCTTGGTAACGAACGACTCGGAGAGGTCCTTCCCAATTCTGACTGCGCTTCTGGTGTTGTCTAGCGTCAGCCGTATAAGTTTTGTGGAGATACCAAATTCAGACATAACGGCGTAAAGGCAGCTCCTATTCGTGCTGTCGAAAGCGGCCATGTTCTGCCGGTAGGCCGTCAGCTCCCTCCGCTTTGTTGATTTTTAAGCGGGCTATTGCTGTTCGAACTCCTTCATTGTCAGGTAATGTAACGTCTTTTACATCGTCATAGGGTTTTCGGGTAGAAGTGTTCCTTTCATTAATTCGATATACTCTAGGCATCGGTGGCCAGATCACCTCTTTGTGTCCTACAAGACCATTACCCTTTTCGGCCAGCTTCTCAAGTTCTTCATACTAACGCATCTCAACCTCTTTCTTTTTTTTTCCGCAGATGCGTCTTGCTTCCCTCTTCATCTCTCGGTATCTATCCCATCCCGCACGTGTTGTGGTCGATCGCAAGTTTGCGATGTGGCAGTGTGTTTTCTCTCCACGACCTTTACGAAATCCCGTATACCTAGTTGCTGATGAGTCCTCTCAGAGAGCTGGAGTGCAAGTCGAGTAGAAAATTGTTCGGCAACTTGTTGTGTACGCACGTCAATAACACTGGAGACATGTCTTCCGTCTATCCCAACATGATCGATCTGGTTTTGTATTTTTCGATCCGGAGACAGCCAAGTAGCTTGATGTATTTTTTATGTTGGAATCTAGTACAACAGACAACCGTATTTCGGACCCCGGCAAAGTCGATCGGCCTCAACACAGTAGGTAATGTTTCGTTTTGAAGGCTGAATTTTCCAACAGTCGTACCAAATATACCTGCTTTGCCTACCCTGGCATTAGCA